GGAGCGGCTGCCCCCCGCTCAATCGGCATCAGCAGCAGCAGCAGCAGCTGAGCTTCACCCACAGGGACAGACCAAAGCTCCACCACAGCCTCAGCTTCTCCGGCTTCTCCTCCCACCACGGACTCGAGTCCCCGCTGCTCGACAGCCCCACGTCCCGCACCCCGCCTCCCCCCACCACGGCCTCCTCCTGCTGCACCTCCACCTCCAGCTTCTACGACGAGGTGCTGTCTCCGAACATCAACGGCGCCTTCTCCTTCCCCGGACAGGACTTGAAAGCCTTGCTGGCCCCGTTGGCCGTGCACACCGCCGGCGGCTACGTCAACAACCACTCCACCGGTGCATACTACGGGAACCTGCAGAGCAGCGTGTGCCCCCCCTCTCCTCCCGCCTTCAACATGAGCCACTTGCAGGCGCTGCGCCGCCTCAGCGAGTCGCCGGTGTTCGAGCCCCCTCCCAGCCCGCCAGACTCGCTCTCTGACCGGGAGAGCTATGCGAGCGGGTCCCTCAGCTCCTCGGGGAGTCTCAGCGGCTCCGAGTCCCCGAGTCTGGACGCGGGAAGACGTTTGCCAATCTTCAGCAGGCTGTCGATTTCTGACGACTGATGTGTGTGTGTGTGTGTTTATTCTTCCAAACCTATTTATGGACCGGTCAGAGGGGAGTGAATGAAGCTAGACTGTCGGACCCCCCTCCCCCCATAAACTCCCCCCGGCCAGCAGCAGCAGCAGCCTCCACCTCTGCTGAAGTGCCTTTAAGCAAAGACATTGATTCCTTACCAGCTCCAGTGGTGCTGCCCCTGCTCTGACCTCCCTGGTGGGGGGGCAGGAGCAGCGGACCTCCACCTGCCGTTAGTTGGTTCACTTTGTTTCCTCTCTGTTTGTACCGTAGCTGTAGAGAGACTGTACCAGCAAACAGAAGGCATTCCACTAGTGCCTTGCCCAAGGGCTCCTGGCAGCCCACTCTCCCTATTTTTTTGCTCTGTCAGGCAAGACACACTTTTCCTGGGATTAGGTGTGTGTGTGTGTGTGTGTTTTCGTGCGTCTTCGTGCGTGTGTGTGAACATGCCTAGTCTCGGAGTTACGTGTTTTTTCTTTCTTCTTTTTTTCCTTTCTATTTTTTAAAAGCTTCAACTTCCATTCCAGACCTGTTTTCTCCCAGCGCCACCCAGTGGTTGGTTAGGTTAGTCTAGTTCGTTGCTTGGTCAAAAAGCACTCTTGAGTTTGGGTTTGTTGGGGAAATCACTGCTGATGGTTGAATATATATTTTTTTAGCTGTTTTTGAGTGATTGTCATAGCAGCGCAGCGCTGTCTGTGGACTATTTAACTTATTTATTATCTTGTGAAAAAAAAAGTCAAAGTATAGGCTACATCGGTAATTTGTGTCCATACTGTATTTATCAAGTATGATGAAGCATAGATCTATATTCTTTTATGTTTAAATTATGATGGCCATTATTAATCTGCATAAAGTGGAGTGTATGTTCTTTTCACAGTAATATATATTGTTTTTTTTTTCTCCTTTTTTTTGTAACTTCACTCGTTTTTTTTTTATTGTAAATGAGTAAAAAAAAATCTTAATTTAAGAGAACGTATGTGATATTTATTTCATTAATTTTCTTTGTTTACGTTGATTCAAAGTCTGCGTGGATGAAGCTGGCGTTCCCTCCGGAGGTCGTCAGTGCTGTAGAAGGTTTTTCTTTTCTTTTTTTTTTAGATTTTCTCCCCGTCTAGATGTCTGTGTAGAATGTATAAACAGTGGTTGTACACACCGTCCAAACTTCAGTTGTTGTTTTTTTTTGTCGATCAGACTTCAGTGACGCAGGATCCAAGTCAATAAATTAACCAAAAAGTATTTTTGATTTTTTTTTTTTTTTTTAATTTTTGTTTTTCTCTCTGCGCGAGGTTCCACTGTGACTCCAGCCACGCGCTCAAGAATGTAGCAATCCCTTGTGCCCCAGTATTATTATTATTATTATTGTGTAGTGCCTGGGGGGGGGGGCAGGAGGGGAGGGGTCCACCATCCTGACATGCCTTAAAAATTAACCAAATAAAGTATTTTTTTTCCTATATGACATCCTTTGATACACAGCGTGTACTGAATGTAGTACTGAGGTGAAATCCTTCTGGTTTCACACGTCGTCACCACTTCAATCCCACAATTCCTTTGGTTTTTTTTTTTTCTTTCCTCTTTGTTTTTCCTGTGTTTTATATTGAAATCTAGTCTGAGTCTAGAGTTTGCTGGAGTGGGGAGGGGGGTGAGGGTGGGGGGGGTGGATGAACACGTTTGGTTTGTACATAGTAGGTACAGGGGAAGAGCACTATGTACTTTTGACTACTTTATCAGAAGTAAAGCTTTTTGAATGTAACAAAAAAAAGGAGAAAAAGACAACGAGAGTTGTGATATTTCCTGGGGGAGAGGGGGTGGAGACGGGTGGGAGGGGGTGGTCAGTTGACTACAGACTGAGTGTGAGACTGTTAACTTTGTACTGTACATTTTTGTAGTTCTCCCAATAAAAAAAATAACTTTTGACAAACCTCTGCCCTCAGACTCTGATTTCACAGATTCACAAACGTGAAAACGTCCAACTTCACACGAACGCATCACTTTAGCCCCCACTAGAGGTCGAGGGGGGGTGGACTGGAGGTCTCTGGTGTTCAGTCCAAGACTCAGAGAGTTTTACAGGGACATCGGGGGTCCCTGAAGGTGGGGGGGGGGGGGGGGGGGGGGTCTGTTTTAAATAACAATATTTGTTATTACGTCTCTTCCAGTTCCTGGAGTTGAACCAACATCACTGTAACCACTGAGAAGTTCACCAGAGTACTCTGAGTCTGAAGTAATACTGCAATCCTGTACTCAACTGTCTGAGTTCTGTGGACTTTGATGATATTAATGTGAATACTTTTCTTCACCAGGGACCAGTTCTGACCTGGACCAGGGACCAGTTCTGACCTGGACCAGGGACCAGTTCTGACCACCAGTTCTGACCTGGACCACCTGGACCAGGGTTCCTGTCCTGCTGTGTCTCAGTCCTGTTTGAGAGGTTCTGTAGGTCAGTGGTTTGTCAAACAGCTGACATGAAGTCTGGGAATTGAACACCAGCTGTTAGAACATTACTGAGTGACTCTCTGGCTGTAAGTGTGTGTGTGTGTGTGTGTGTTGTCAGGCAGGTGAACCCGGGACAGTGACGCAGCTGAAGGTCTCGTTCCCTGGTTCTGACCTGAACCTCAGACCAACTCCAGACCTCAGACCTCCTCAGCGTCGCGTTGAGCTGATTTTCTAGGGACGATTTCAAAGAACGACTCAGTTCTCAGTTCGTCACAGTTATCAGCGGCAGCGACGGCGGTGAGAAAATAAAAGAGTCGTGGAGTCATGTGGTTCCTGCCGCTCACGCCAAGATAAGACCAGACGATAAGAGGACGGCAAATATTTACTGAGTCCTGAGGATTTCATAATGAAGTGTTTATCAGAGCCGCGGCACAGAGCTGCACGATGACGCCACGGGTGTGTGTGTGAGGAAGAGAGAGAGAGAAAACAATGTGTGCCAGTCCATGTTCATGTAATGTGTGACACACACACACACACACAGTGAGGTCCTGCTGGTTAATGGCTCTGCAGCTCTACAATGACAGGAAGTGCCTTGACTTGTGATTAGAGCAGGAAGAGTTCCACTTCCTGTCCGACGCCCATTTCCACCTCCTCCTGCTCCTGCTGTTTTTCCACCTTTTCTGTTTCCCTTCTCCGCCGTAGCCTCGGCTTCTAGAAGTTACTATTTGTGTTCCACGGCTGCGGCGGGAAGCCCGGCTCCTCCTGGTATTGTTTTGGACCTGCGGGTCAAACAGCAACAGCACCGAGGTCCTGGACTTTGTTTGAGCCAGATGGGTGGCGGCCCGCCAAGTGGAAAGTGGAGATCGGGCTGTAAATAATCTGTTGTGTTAGAAATGCCCAGTTAGACGTGACCTTCGCTGACCCCCCCCCCAGACTCATCTGGACCTTTGATTCACATTCGATTAGATTTTTTCTCTGCAGCGACTCTGGGTCTCAGGTCTGGTTTTCTGACAGACGTAGCTGTAAAATGTAGCACGTCCTGTCTACTCAGAGCAGAGGTTTACTTAGAGCAGGCGTTGTCTCACAAACACGTGGTTGGCAGCAGAGACGGGAGGACGATAAGGAAGGGTCTGTGAGGTGAGGGGGAGGGATCAGTGACGCAGGGGACGCTGGGAGTGTGTGTGTTGACTCTGCGTGGCCTACTTATGATTTCTGACCAATGTGCTGAAGACTGAAGGAACCACACATGAGACGGGGCTGTGATGAATGAAGCATCACGGTCAGTGCTGTGGTTAAAGG